TTAAACTCTTGAGCAGTGTAAACCATAACAGAGCCATGGACTTTACCCAAATTGTGGCAACATTGCTTTTTCTGTAGAGTAAACCTGCTACTTTATGCTTTCCATTTGATGCTAATCTCCCACACTAGTTAACCCCAAACATGAAGCTATTACCTAAACTATCAGGCCAATACTTACTGTTTCCTGTGTAATTTCATAATAACCCCTTGCCAATTCATTCTGTAATTAAAAAGTCTCTCTGTGCTCTATAGAGGAGTGTGGTTATTCTCTATAGTAAGTGGTTGCTGAGTAACTTCCAGCTTCATTGTCAAAGTCAGGGCCCCTGTTGTCTACAGCACCATTGTCATGATTGTGATATTGTCAGAAATAGTCATTTAACTGATAATAGCACCCAATACATAACACCCACTCACCTTGAGTGACACCTACCCTACATAATGCTGCAGCTATGATAGGGGAGTTCTATGCTCCTCTATCATCACCCAGACAGTGGCAGTGAGCCTAATCCAGAATACCTACCCACACTATTCCTCATTCCTGGGAGCCCTTGCTGTGTTTTAAGGCTAGGTATTAAGCTAGAGCTTAATGTGCCTTGTTGACTTCTTTCCCTGGTGCTCACAAGCATTCGATCCAGTCATACCCTGTCATGACATGAGATCCAATGCTCATAAGTCTAAAAAATGCTACACTGAGTAAGGTTGGGAAATTATGTTATTGCTTTCCTGCAGTTGGGCTTTACATTATGTTATGAAAAGATATTGATGTTAGAAACTCCAATAATAGATTACAGTGCCAGGTTGCTGTAAGCAAAGCTAGCAGCTAGTAGAATCTTGTCCTGCATCAAGAAGGGAATGTTTTGCAGGGATAGGTCTATAATTTTGCCACTTTACACATCAATGGTTCGGCCCCACCTGGAGTATGCGGTGCAGTTTTGGGCACCGGTCCACAGAAAGGATGGCCTTGAACTGGAGAAAGTCCAGCGGAGGGCGACCAAACTCATAAAGGGGATGGAGGACCAGAGCTATGAGACACGGCTACTAAATGTAAACATGTAAGTAAGGAGATTAAGGGGGGACATGATTTTCATGTACAAAATGTTCCATAGTCATAGCAACATTGGCAACAAACTCTTTGAGATTAATTCCGTAACAAAGACTAGAGGACACCACCTAAAACTGGTAGAAAAGAAATTCGAACACAAGGGGCGAAGGGGGTTCTTCTCAGTTCGCGCGGTTAGGGTCTGGAACTCACTGCCTCAAGCGGTAATTTCCGCAATTAATATGGAATCATTCAAGAGGCTTTTGGACGACTTTCTGAGAGACCGAAATGTACAAGGGTACAGGTACTCTTAAGAATGAGAACACTCGTGGACTATACACACACACACAACAGGTTGGACTTGATGGACTTATGTCTTTATTCAACCTCAAATACTATGTTACTATGTTACTAATGGATGGCAATTCAAAGTAATAGGCAGGAGAAGATAGATTTGACTTTTTATTTCTGAAAATGTGGGTCCTTTTCCAGAGACAAATATATAGAGAGTTTTGTTCAAATCCTTGGACTGTCTATGTACAGTATATTAGGGACAATTGGCAACTATGCTGAAGCTTCCGATTTATAAAAAGTATTTCACAATTTATTATTGCTGTGCTGCATCAGTAGAATGTGTTTCACTATTGTAAAATGTAATCATAGAGCGAGCCATAATTCCTTGTAATCTGCACAGTGCTCCTCTGCAGTGAGATGTTGCTTTTAGATTTTCCTGAAGTTCATGTGCACTTTATAAGCCTTCTTTGTTTAGCTGAAAACATCAGGTGTATTATGCTGACTGCAGCACATAGATATAGAAGTTATACAGTATATTCGCCTTTCTAAACCGTTTGTTATTCAACATGTGAAAATGATTTATTAGAAATGTGTTTGTTTGGTGTGACAAATCCTATCTCTGAACATGGTTATCAATAAACTAAGCAATGGTGGCAGCCAGTGATATTTATGCTTGAAACTGTCCTATATGCAATTCAAGTGGCTAATAATAACAACAGCTGGTTTGCAGTTGTAAATGAACTAGCACTATTGATCTGTTCTTGTGACTGGTTTAATAAATACACTTAAACTGATCAATGTTGAACTCTCCAGGGACTTTAATGGAGAATGTTTGCCATGCAGAAAACTAATACATTGGACTGATTGCAAGATACTTTTCCTTCCACAGTTACTATTTCCACAAAATAACACATCTTGCTTCATGACAGAAATTTACATTGTAGAGGTCTAGTGAATATTAAAGAGTAAGTACACCAAAAGCTAATATTTAAATAGTTGGTACATGCTGAAGAGTAAACCCAATGTACAGTTTCTTATATCTCATTGGTGATATCTCTTGGCACCAGGAATCCTAGGTCTTTAAAACTGCTGTGACTGTTATAAAGTATTTCAACACTTCCCTTTCAATTGTTATGTTTATTTTATATTATGAAGAATATTATGGTACATGGGAGCCAAAACCCAAAACTTTCAGGCGGAGGTGTGATTGCAGACTTAAAGTGAATCTTTAGTCTTTAAAACCCAGTGTGTGTATATCTGTATGAAAGGGAGAAATGTCTGCCCGCAATCTTAAAACCAATTTTTACTTGAATGTTATTTAAACATTTGCTATTTATTTTAAGTCCCTGAATACCATGCTTCCTGCTTAGTAATACAGCTTGTTGTGTTTTAGTGCTATATTAGTAATATTCCTCTTATATAATTTAAAGCCAAGGACAGAGTTTAGTCAATAGACTTTCTAGTTCAATACATTGTTATTGCATTTTAAAACTAGTGAAACAGAATATGGAGGTGCTTGTCTGCCGAGGGATATCTTAAGTAGTGAACATGACCGTAACAATTTATAGGAAAAACTAACCCATCCTGAGAGGTATTTGGATCTCAACTGCGGTCCGTTACAATAAAATGAGATTACTTAACTGTACGAATAAGTCCAGTGTAGTGGATGCGTATCTGATGAGGAGATGTTCATGCGTTCTAACAGATACTGAAATGGAGGTATTACTTCATGAAACACTTCATATAACAGTATATCCATGCACTCGCATAGATATTGAATGGCTGTATTACCTCATATAGCACTTCATATAACCAGAATGTCCATGCAATCAAAGTTAATCCTCGGGTGCTAACAGTGATCAACTGCCCATCCACTTCTCCAAATAGATTGGCCCCAGGGGTGCTGCTTCTCCTCAGATCGGAAAAAGCACTCGTCCATACATGGAAAGAAACACAAAACAGAACACCCACCCTGTGCAGTGCTGATTTATTGGTATCAATTTGTTAAAAACAATACAGGCTACTCACAAGTGTAGCAGCATACAAGCTTGTCAACAGTCACCGGGAATAAGAAGCTGTCAATGCATGGATTCCATACGAACTCTCACAGTCCTCGACCAGAGTAACACAGAAGACGACAGCTGTGAGTGACGTGGTTGATGCGTTTTTTGATCCAGTGATCGGAGAAGAGATCAGCACCTGGAAGCCTGTGAAGACAGTGTATTCTAGGGAAGTCGGCAGGGGTGGATGGGGCAGCATATTCCGCCAATCGGTACAAACGGTCCAGTGGCTGTATAGACGCCAGACGCTTGTATCTTAAAAGCCATCGCCGTCTGTCTAAAATGACACCAAGAACATGGCGGCAGCAGCAGCTGTGTTCTTGGTATAACCACTTCTGTGGCCCGCCGTATATTTAGGGCTACCCGCAGCAAGTGGTTAAAATGATGCAGCAGCGTGCTGTGACAAAAGACAGCTTAAAGAACAGATGGTCATTAATAAATGAATGCTCCAATTTAAGCACCCCAAACTTAATAAACATATATCAACATAAAGTAAAAATTAAAAACACACGCAAAAGAAATAAAGACCGCAAATAACCACCCTTAAAACAAAAGCTCACTTTTATAAATGGAACACTCACAGAAAAAAAAAAAAGCAATGTAACCTAAAATATTCAATATAAATGAAAACCAACATACCACAAAATAACTAAAACCCCCAAAATACCGTTCCCTGAAACAAAGCCCATTTTTGTTAAACTGAAGCCTTGCAGACAAATTAAAAAGTTTGCTATGGATGGGAGCAGCTAAAAGTGACGACTGACCTCAAATCAACAAAATAAAATGAATAACAAAAAAGCCCCCAATAATAACAAAAAAGCAGTTTACTAACTAATCCTAATCTCTCCCTATGCCTTTTGTCAGCTTTCCCTACAACAGCTTTCAGTTTACTGACACTGTGCCTGCCCAGAGCCCCCTTTTATAGTGAGGGATTGGCTTATCCAAAAGTGCCCGTATATTGGCCCTTCTAAACCTTCAAAGGCCATGCAATGCATTAGGGTTTTAAAAAATTCTTCTGGGAATATCTGCACAAAACTTTGCTGTGGGGAAGTCAATCTTAAACTCGCAGTATGCCTAGAATAACAGCAAACCCAGACCCTATCCCTATTCTGGAGGAGGAAGTAATACATATGGTATCAGTAAAGTGAGGAAACGGTCTTTGCCTTATAGTATATCATGAAAAATCAAAAGAGGGATATGGACATTTTACATATTGTGCAGCATATAGCACAATATTGGTAATGTTAATAATATTAATCATTGTCATCATCATTGGAATATGGCCTTGTGCCTTTTGAAGTAATTATGTATTTACATTTTTAGGATTAATGGGCAACTGGTTGCTTTGAAAGTCATCAGCATGAAAGCTGAGGAAGGAGTGCCCTTTACTGCAATTCGAGAAGGTAAAGTGTGTATTCCATAGCAGTGACACTGGAAGTGTAATAACTGCCACCAAGGTATTCTGTATACTGTACTTGTAGCCATACGATTTTTCTATTGTGTCTTTTAAGATAATATTCTTTGAATTTATATCCTAATAAATGACTCTACTTTTTATTACATTGAGAGAGCATTAGTTTTTTAAAAGCCCCTCCCCCTTTTTGGATTTGCATACCTGAAAGTGGGTTTATTTGTCTTTTTTCTAGTATCTAATACAGGGGGATTCATTTACTAAAGAAATAGAGACTTTTCTCTAAGCAAAGTGAATGCTCCCTAAGCTTTTAAAGAAGCACGCCAGGATTTTTTTTTTTAATTAACCCTTGCAGTGGGGCTACCCTAGCCACTGCTCCAAGTTTGCTCCCGTGATTGACTACAATCTCAATACAAATTAGCTAAGTAAACGTGAAATTGTAGTCCATCACAGGAGCGAGCTTGGAGCGATTGCTACTTTACAACACACACATGGACCATGGGGGACAAAAGTAGCCTCCCTCCAGAAGGTAGGACAGTGTTGGCACCAATTCAGAGATGATTTGAGGATCTGAATGATACACAAATAAGATACATTTTTGTTAATAGAACATTTAACTCTTGAGTTTAGTGTTACTTTAAGTACATTAAGTTCTATTTTTATGTTTTTACAGCATCTCTCTTGAAAGGCCTGAAGCATGCAAACATTGTTCTTCTGCATGACATCATTCAAACCAGGGAAACGTTAACGTTTGTCTTTGAATATGTGGTAAGTCCATTTTGTAAGTGTATGCTTACATATGATTGTATATTGTTGTTATTAGAGGTTTTTTTAACAGATTTGTAAAAGCTAGCCATAGACAGATGTGCAGGCTTCCTATATAACCATAATTCCTTGATTCATTTCTTCCTGTCAAAGTCAAGCTTGATTCACATCCTCCTATCTCCTGAGCCTTCCTATTGGTCCTTTAATGTAATGGACAACCACACTGAGCAGCTGGGGGTAGGAGGGGCAAGACAAGCTTGACTTTTTCTTTTTTAGGAATAGTTGACATTTGCATATGATTCCAGCTTCCTTTATCTTTGGACCAGTAAAAGGATCTATGTTTCAACAGATATGCTTTTTTGTTTTATATAAGGCCATACTGCTAATCCTTTTCATTTCCAAACATGTCCTGCAAGGGGAGCACACAGCACTGTTTTAGACATCTCTCTAAAATAAACAGACTTTATTTGAAGCTGTATTTGAATTAGTCAGATCAATTAACTTCCCTCAAAAAGAGCTTAAGCACGTTTAATCACTTCCTTAGACTAAATGCATAATAAAACTTTACATAATTATATAAATAAAATTGATGAGGACAGACTGTCCTTTTCCTAATGTAGGTAAATCCACAATCTTAGTGACGAGTGTACAGTGATGATTATGCAAAGTGAAGTAACCTAAAAGAACCAATCATCTATCATTTGATTACTATTCGCCTTGCTGAATTAAAAAACAGCAGGACTGTGGATAAAGACAACATGACATATTTTTTATAGTTCTTTAATGCACTTGTTCATGACCCTCATCCTAGTTAATTTTGGGTGTTCTAAGACATCCTATGCAAGATGTGAAGAAAATCCAACCTGGCTTGAAAATTGGAGGTGAAAAGTTCATTAACGAACAGCTACTACCAACCCTGCAGTTAATGTCATCTTGGGTAGATGTAAAGGTTTTGGTTGGAACCTATTAGAACAAGCAGTGACAAATTGGATAAGGATAAGATAGGATATAGAAACATGGATGCTTACACACAGAAAGGACTATGAAAATTCCTAAAAACAGTTTAGTTTATTTAAGGGTGTATTTTGCTGATGTTTTATATGTACATTTGTTTGTTTTTTTGCAGCATACAGACCTGTCGCAATACATGGCGCAGCATCCTGGAGGGCTCCTGCCATACAATGTTCGGGTGAGCATCTGTATTTATTTATGTGAGCAAGGATAGTCAACATAGACACCTAGGACTCATTGCTAAAATCAGATTAGGCCACTGCCAAACATGCACACCTACACAAAATTAACTGTAAGAGCTGGATCTGTTTAATTGTGATCCGTTGCATTTCGATAAGTTTTTCAACGCATGCTGACGGAAGGGCACCTAACAATGAATGGCTGTCAATTTGGTTAGTTTAAACCGCTCCGTTGTGTTGTACTGAAAAAAGCTAGAACAACGCAATAGATTCAGTGTGAACTAGCCCCACTGACACCCATTTATTTTTGATGCACAACCAGTGCTTGCAGAATTTTTGCAGATCGCACTGGATCGGAATGCAGGCAATAATATGCCACGCATTCGGCTGTGGGTGATCGCACTGTGGGCGTTGCTCGCGGTGCCATTTACTTCAATGCACCACCATGCCCCCTCCTGCCCCTGAACGCAGGGAGCCGGCCAAATTGCGATACAGTGCGTTCCAGAGGCTTACCGCTCTGGAACGTACTGTTTGTGGTGTGAACCGGCCCTGAAAGCAAGGGAGTCGCCAGAGCAGGTCATAAACCTGCTTGGATGAACTTAAACCGTCTCTATAGAGAAGGGAGGGGGTGTGCAGGGAGCTGAGAAAGTTTATTGCTAGTACATCACAGTAGGAACAGTAGTCCCCTAGACTTGAGATTGTCTCCATCAAGAAAAGCCTGGATCAGGCAAATGGCATCTCATGGCTATGGATAGCTTATCATATCCGCCAGTACAGATATGTCATCTGAGGACAATGCATGCATTCAGTTTAATTTTAGAAGGACTAATAAAATCATATGCACTTCATAGTCATCACCTGGTCTTGCTGATTTTAGCAGAATCCGATGGATTTTCAGCTGACACCCCTGGTAAATGGATCTCTGGTAAAAAAAAAAAGTCTATGGGGCTGGTTTTCCTGACCAGTAGACTCCTGTTTCTCTAAAAAGGCAGCAGTGCAGAGAGCTTTGCTGTGCACACAGGCCAGGATTGTCAACTCATATCTTTAATTACTAACGTATGAATGTCCCAACTCCAGTCTTCAAAGATTTCTAACAATGCATGTTTGTGAATTCTTGTCACAGCCATGGGTGAGAAAAAGTGTTGCTTATTTACGTTGGTTACTAAGCAATGCAACTGTGCCCCCACCTGGTATTGAGAAGAAAATGCACTGTTAATGGGCTTTGACGAGTGAAAGTGAATACCAATGATCAGGTTCTACTCTCTGGTTATGTTGACAAAGGCATTTCCTTCATTTAATCAACCACATAATCTGTGTAATTTGATAGATATAGTTGCCAATAATTAATAAAAATGGTCAAGAACAAAAATTTTATATATTGCAGTCCGTAGACGTGGCTGCATCGGTTTTCTTTTTTTCAGGCTAAGTACATTTTTATTTTGCAAGAACAAAAAAATACCTGTTGATCTTGTTAGAATCCCAATGCCTTGTAACATCCTCTGCACTGAACTGACATTTTAAACAAGGAACTACAAAACAACTCGATCCTATGTATTAGAAATAAGGAGGTGTTTGCAGTCAAACAAGAAGAGAAGCATACATACAGTACAGTGTGTTGTCACTCTAGGAAAGGAAGTGTTTTACTGGTAGGATTACCATAAGAAAATAAAAGTAAAAAGCCTAAAAAAAAGAAAAAAAACAATGAATCTACCACATCTAAGGACTGGTAAGCAGCATTATATAACATCTGGATTTTGGGTTTCAATATACTTTTAGGACCATGAAGCAGCATACCGCTGTTGATGCAGCTTGGCAGAGGCATATGACTCAAAAGGCTAGCTAATCATAATTACAAATCCATTGGCAAGTTAACATAAAAAAATCAACTTGATATTTATTAATGTCTTAGGAGTTCCTCTTTAAAATATGCAAAAAGGCACCAAAATGGAGGAATAACCCTACCCATTCATTTAAAGACAGCCGACCACATATAAGCTTGCAGTACCCTAAACCAGAAAAATTAACACTGCAACAATGTTAAGAAAAACACCAGTTATTCTTTTCCTGTTTTTTATACTTATGATATACATCAGGGGTCACTAAATGGCGGGCCGCAGTCTGGACATAAACCAAGCGGCGGATGTGTCCGGACCACGTTTGCCAACCCACGTTTGCCAAACATGGGTCCCCCCTGTTTTTCAGTCATTGGCTGCTAGTATGGCTGGCTTCCTAGCAACCAGTGGCGTCAGGCAGAGCTAGCTGCTACAAGTACAAGTGATCTGGGCAGCTGTAAAGCCACTTAGATCATTTGTATTAGCCACAATTGTGCACGATTGTGGCTAATACAAAAACCATAGCTGGGGGGCAGCCATGGTTTTTGGGTCCCCCGCTCCTCTGGAGAGCCCGGGACCACAGGACACAGTGTCAGGATGGAGATCGGGAGATCAAATGAACACGTTAGCATAAGGCATGCACATGTATGTTAACGGGGGGGCATTTAGTGAAAAAAATGGGGGAAAAAATAAACATTGTGATGTGCCGTGATTGGCACATTAGCCCCGTGCCAGGGAACACACACCAACTTCTGTGCATTACAGTGCAGGTGTAAATGCAGACTAAATGGTGGACCGTAGTATGGGCACTGTCTGAGTGGCCATTTTGTCCGGATCACGATTCGGACCTCCGCTCAATTTTATTCATTGGACCCCCTAGAATTTGAATTAACTACCGCTAGAATACATTGTTGTTTTTTTTCTCCCAAAATTACTAAAATACAAAAAGTGGTTGTTGAACTTATGTGAGTTACAAAACATATTTTTCAATGAGTAAGCATTTTTGATCCATAGGTCATCTATAAAATTTACACTTCACAGAATTAGGGTACAGTATTATTTGCCTCATTACAGGTAATCCTCTATGTGCCAAGATCAAGCAGTGTCTGTGCTAAGATAGTACAGTTTCAAGTATCTGGCACCAGAACAAGTTGCCCAGTCCCCCCCTCCCCTTGTGTGTGCTCTTTATCACTAATCTTACTTTTTAAATTGCTATGTTGCTGTTTGTTATAGTCTCTGACAACTGAGTTAAGGTGCCCATACCCTGTGCGCTTTTCGTTAAAAAATTGTACACTAACGCTCTTTCGAACGCATATCGAACAGTTGATGGCACATCACTGATTTTCCTTTTTAATATTGTGATTTAAATTTTTTGTTCGGTCAAAATTTTTTTTTTCTGACCAAACATAAATTGATGAATGAGTGGGGTTTTCGTTCTTCAAAAATCTCTGCAGGAACACAGCACGTGCACAAAAGGAAATTATTTCCATCGTCAAAAATTGGTTGGTTAGTATGGACTAATGAACGATTTCCGAAATCGACATTTGACTATGCTTGATTAGGTATTTGAGCTATAATCGAACAAGTGTTCCTGGAAGAAACGTACATTTCCGACCGAAAATCTACTAGTTTATGACCACCTTTGGGGCTGGTGCACACCACATTGTCCGCGTTCCAGTGCGTTCGGCCTCTGGAATGCACTGGAACGCAAGTCGGCCGGCTCCCTGCGTTCAGGGGCAGGACCCACACTGCAAGCACTATTTTCGCAGATCGCACTGGACCGGAACGCAAGCACTAATGTGCCTGTGTTCCGGGTGCGGGCGATCACACTGTGAGCGGGGGAGTGGCTGCGGTGCCATTGAGTCAATGCACTGCCACTCCCTCTCCCGCCCCTGAACACAGCGAGCCGGCCAGCTTGCGTTCCAGAAGCCGAACGCTCTGGAACGCAGCCTTTGTGGTGTGATCCGGCCCTTAGGGTATGTTCACACCATGTCCGGACCAGATCTAGAGCAGATCTTGCAGTGCGATTTTTGCCGCGCTTATGCGACTTTCTGGTGCGGATCTTCTTTTTATTTATTTTTTTACTTCAAATGGGCTTTCAGGTGCAGTGCAGTCCAGTGCATTTGCATGCATTCGTATGCATTTTTGAAGCGTTTCCATGTGTCCCAGTGCATTCCAGACCAGAGAAAATGAGACTAGCAGTATTTTTGTGTCTGGATCGGCACGGACTGCACTGATGTGAGCAGAGCTCAGAAATACCATAGGGACACATTGGGATGCTTTTTTTGTCCGTGAACAAACTGTTCTGGTTTGGGCATGGTGTGAACAAGCCCTTAAAGGAGAACTATGACATGAGTGATTTCCACTCACCTCATAGTTCTAAGCCGACCTGTGACAATGAGACTGTCACAGGTCGGCTCAGTAGATCGGGAGGTGAGAGAACACATACCGGGTTCCCTCACCTCTCGATCCTGTCACGGCTCTCTGCCGTGACAGGGGGAGGGGCTGGATTCCCCTCTCCCCGCTCCGATCTGCCAGCGCTGACTGGCGGAACGGACGGGGGAGGGGGCGGGTACAGCTGGCTCTGCCTCTAGATAGGCAGAGCCAGCTGTCACTCACGCAGCTGGGCGGATCCCGTCATCTAAGTCGGGATCCGCTCCAGGTGCGGCGTCTCAGTATACTGCGAGCTGTAGCTCGCGGTATACTGAGCTTAGGGTAACGGGAGGACGCTAGTTTGTGTCCTCCCGTTACTCCAAGGAGAACTATGGGGAAAAACACTGACCCCATAGTTCTCCTTTAAGCCACTACCACAGTAATTTTGTGTATGTGCTCTGGCCATGCAGTAGGTAATTTTTTCCTGAGCGTGCAGTGCATTGTGTCACCCTAGGTGACAAGCAAACCTATTCTGCAAAAAAAAAAAACCCATGTGAGCCTTATCTTCCTGCAAACATGCTGCACTTAGCCGTTACTAGTTTATCAGGGTTGCGTGATTTGCCCTAGTTTAGCAAGACATTTTACTGTCAGTATTTATTTTTGTTACCAGTTCCATATAACTCTTTCTACATCAATCATAGAATATTTTTGTATACTAAATGAAAAAAGGTGGCATAAGCATGTTACTGATTTGTACACAGGGTTGATTCTAACCAGAGCCACAAGGACACAGTGAAAGTGGTTCTGGGCAAAGCACAAAGGCTTCCCTTTTGATCTGAGACTTGTTATCTCTTTGTGTAGCTCTTCATGTTCCAGTTACTCAGAGGTCTGGCCTATATCCATCACCAGCACATCCTGCATCGAGACCTAAAACCACAGAATCTCCTTATCAGCTACCTAGGGGAGCTCAAACTGGCTGACTTTGGTAAGTCCAACACAACTGATACCATTACATCAGAGTAGCTGGAGCAACAGGCCTTTAGAGTACACTTCATTTTTTGTAATTAGATCATCATGAATAAGATTAAACAAACTTTTCAGGTTAATGAAATGTTCAGTTTTGGCAGGTTAATGGGATGCATGTGTGTAAAAAAAAATACAGGGTCAGAGTCTGGACTGTATTAAATGCATGTTACTGCTTTACAACAAACAATGAAAAGTCTACTAGGTGTTGAAAACAGAAAATAAACTTGAATTGGAGCAAATGAGGGAACTAGAGCAAAATAGTTGTCTGCTTAAACCCTGAAAGGTGGTCATATAAATAGGATGGCAATTGGATGGTTTGGTTTGACCAAAGACTAAATTAGCATATGCTGCACATTAGCTGCTCAAGCACTAGGTTTATTGTGGGAAAACTGTAGTCTATATAGTGTTAAAAAAAAAAGTCCAACCTGGCACACAGACTTCTCCAACTATGGGAGTCTGCTCAGTTGATATTTTGACTGTCACCTGATGTGAATGATGTTCTAGTTGTCGATCACAATATCAAGTATACAGTAACAAGCTTACTGAACAGGAATTTGTTGTTCTCAAGATTGGTTAATTGAAGTCCATATTTACTCAGATCATCAACTGTTTTAGTAAATCAGCCCCTACAAACCAATAAATACAATTTAAAAGGCTAGAAATCGGGCTTAGAAATATAGAAGTGGGCATTGTTCATTGATTTGCATGCAGAATACAACCAACTATAGAGGACTACAATTCCCAGTAATTCATTATAAAGCAATGCAGAATGGCACCGGCTATAGAGGACTACAAATCCCAGCAATACATTGTAAAGCACTGCAGAATAATACTATCTGCTATAGAGGACTACAAATCCCATCAATACTTTATGCAGCAATGGGGATCAAGATTAAGCTACATACTCTTTGTTGCTCTGGGTTCGCGGCCTGATGTCTCCAGGGTCTTAGTAGGCTGTTCAGGCTCTCGGGGGAATAGTATGGGCTCCCGGGCGGTCAGTGTAAGCTCCCGGGCGGTCAGTGCGGGCTCCCGGGCGGTCAGTGCGTGCTCCCGGGCGGTCAGTGCGGGCTCCGGGAGGTCAGTAAGACTGGTGGCTGCGGCTCTCTACTCAGGCATATCAGAGGGCTTGCTGCGATTCGAGTCGGGTGGGGCCGTCCGTGATTCGGGTCGGCTGGGCCTATTTGCAGGGGCTGGCCTGGAGCGGGAGTTCCACCCGCCCCTATGTTAATCCGGCCCTGGAGCTTGTTAAATAAAAATGTTTAAAAAACACAATACGAGTATAGATAATCATATATGATTAAAATATTGGTCACATAAAAAATGACGTTAGAGGCAAACCCTAAGTAAAAGTGTGCAAGTGTGTGTAGAAAAGCAATAAACTTTCCCTAAAGCAGCGGCTTGCTGGTTGCTGTGTATCAGCTCTTCAATAAGAAGGTATGGTATTCAGGGTTTCTAAGCCCCCAGTCACACATAGGCATTTTTACGCAAATCATAAAAAGCAAGCATTCCTATAGAGCTCATTCACACCTGCGTGTTAGTACGTGTGTACAAAAATGCGGGAAAAAAGTACATGCTTGTACATGCAGAATTCAGTGCGTTCTGTCCCCAATAGACTATAGTGTAGCCGCAAACACGCGTAAAATCAGACATCTATGAAAAATGTTGTGTTTTAAATGCGTGTGTTTGCACACATAAAACTTGTTGAATTCTAAACGCCTATGTGTGAACGGAGACTAAATGCTAGCTGTAGTGGGGAAGCTGCTTTATGCACAGTGGCAGCAAGTGCTGGAATGCAGAGAACTGCAGCACCCAGCAATGCAACAGGCTAAATTGAGCTGTGTGATCGCCTTTCCGAAAAATTCTGTATAGTCCCAGATGTAAATTCATTGAGAGGAGCAGCGTGGAACATGGAGCCCACAAGGTAAGTCTCACTGAACACCAGTGCTCGGGCATCATTTACCACTGACACAGGGGCACTATTCCTACCACTAAGAAAGGGGCACCTTTCCTTCCACTGACACAGGGGCACCATTCCTCCCATTCAGAAAGGGGCACCATTCCTTCCACTGACACAGGGGCACCATTCCTCCCATTCAGAAAGGGACACCATTCCTCCCACTGACACAGGGGCACCATTCCTCCCACTGACACAGGGGCACCATTCCTCCCATTCAGAAAGGGCAACAATTCCTTTCACTGACACAGGGGCACCATTCCTCCCATTCAGAAAGGGCAACAATTCCTTTCACTGACACAGGGGCACCATTCACTCTATTGATATATGGGCATTGTTTCTCCTGTCAAAGCAGAATAGTCCACGTAAGCCTGCAGGACTAACATCCCCCTGAGGAAGCCCCATCGGGCGAAACATGTTGGGGCATTTAGAAGAACCAATGCTTCTACCCAATCAAATATAGACAACATTTATAAAGTATTGTGATACTAGCTGTATTGTGGTTATTTATTCAAGCAATCATTCAACTGTGTCTTTTAAATAATATCTGATGATTTGATATAATAAATGATTATCTATTTTATTATATTGAGAGAGCCTAAGTGTTTCATTAAAGCCCCCCAATGAGAAGTTAGCAATGGCAGACTTCAGGTTTCGCCCAGGAAATGTTTCCTTTACACTTTACTTTTAATAGCTAAATTTCAGAAATATATTATTATTTTTATACAGGATTTATATAGTGCCAACAGTTTGCGCAGCGCTTTACAATATAAGGAAGACATTACAATCACAATACAATTCAAGACAAGGTGGGAAGGAGGGCTCTGCCCCTGAGAGCTTACAATCTAAAAGGGAGGGGCAAGTGATACATGAGGAGGTAGCTGTGTGGGGATGAATTGTTTGAGAACGTGATGGTTGGGCTGTTAGGTTGAGGTTAAAAAAAAATATATATATATTTTTTAATTAATTTGTAATGAATAACCTATAGAGTTATACATTTTGTTGACATCCGATTATGTCGGTAGTTAATAGCTTACAGCAGACTGATGCATTTTATTGACATCAGATTGTGTGGGTAATCAATAGTTTACATCCGACTAATGCATTTTGTTGATATCAGATTCGGTGGGTAATTAATAGTTTACAGCAGACTGATGTATTTTAGTGGTAATCAAATTGTGTAGAAATAATAATAGCTTACAGCAGACTATTGCAGTTTGGTGATTTCCTGCAATGTGCTATTATCTCTACAGGTCTTGCCCGAGCCAAGTCAATCCCCAGTCAGACGTACTCCTCAGAAGTGGTGACTTTGTGGTACCGCCCACCAGATGTTCTTCTAGGTGCTACTGATTATTCCTCTGACCTAGATATCTGGTAAATTCAACTCAATATTTCTTGTACCCCAGAATTAAAGAGTAATTCAAGTGTATACCATTTTGTTTACATACAATACACACAAGTGGCAAAAGTACACACCAGGGAACCATTTGTTGTTATGTGCAGTCTTGTCTGACCCCTTAATCCCAATGGTGTAGGATGGTGTAGGATGGTGTAGGATGGTGTAGGATGGTGTGTATGTGGTGACACATTGATTAGTAAGGTATTTCTGTAGCTCATGGGGATAATAGTGTCTCACATGCTGCTATAATACCCATGTTTTGCTATGAAACCCTTGATTGTTTACTGGCATGATTATAAATGCATCATTCAGATGAGTAATTTTTACTGTCTCTGTTTCTCCTCTGGCCATTATTAATACTCTTTTAATTTCAGAATTATTACTGAAAATAATTTTCACAATTTGGGGGGGTTAAAAAGATAACCCCCACTGGATGTCAAATACTATAGGTACACCACTAGCCGTAAGTTTAATATGAATGATGCCTCCCCATTCCCTATGAATGTGGTGGTATTGTCCAAGGACTGTCTGCTGCATTCCTAGCCCATCTTTCTTCTCATCCTCCATTCCTCTACTAACAAAACAAAAGCAACTCAACACCCTGGAAGCCTTCTTTAGTTTTGGACACAGCAGGGAATGGTTAAAACTCCTGGCAGGGGTCTTTGTTAGGGATATTTCCTCTCGCATCCTGAGGAAATCTCTCCGAAGTGGGATTAAATCCCCTCTTAGACAATTGTCCCCAAAGTATGTGCCCCGGCCGGAAGATATACCCTGACCTCTTGTTGGCAGGACTGTCACATTGTGGATTTCACATAACTTTCTGACAATGGTGACAATGATGGGGAGGTGGCTGACCCTAAAAACTAATTTCTGTATCTTTTCCAACCTTAAACAGAAGTTTTGGTTGCACTGCCCCTTTAAACAAGTGTGGTGAGAGATCATTCCCTGTCACATAAGTCTGACTGTATTAATATTAATATCCCCTCATGGCTAGTTGTATCCAAGGAAGAAATTGAGATCAATAGACAGGTAGTGTGTGCTTCAGAACTTAAACAAGCTTGCATATTGAACAGGAGTCCGTCTTAAATTCATCATGAAACAAAGTCAATTCTTTCATGTATATAGTACATCTAAGGGCAGAGGGGCATAGAAATCAGGCATAGGTGAAGAAAACAAAAATGGAAAAGACAGATATACTGAGTCTGATTCTGGATGGGATTCTGTGTTTTGTATGCATGCAGTCCCTGCTAGCATGAATTGCAGAAGTAGGATGAAAGACAATACAAACTGCCTTATCCTGCCAGTGGATGATGGCACAGAATACCAAGTAGCTATATGGGAGTAAGGATTGCTCCAATTATAAAACCGCAATAGTGGTATTAGTTCACTAAGCCTAAAATACATATACACGAATAACTAAACTCTTCAAAAAGGAATTTCTGATGTGTGTTTGTGTACATATATAAGTTGTGTTTAATAATAATAAGAGAGTACTGTTAGGCGAGGTTGACTTTAATGGATGATTATAGAGCTTGGACTAGCTATAATTTGATGTGATTGGTTTCAAGTATTTGTTGTCATTTATTATTTATACAGAAGATAGGTACAGTTATGTCTTTATTTTGTATCATATAACTAAAATATGTGACTGTTTCATAAAATAAGCATTCACTTCAGTTTCTCTATTGTGTGTACTTGCAGTTTTATTGTATTTTTCTATAAATAATATTTTTTATGAATCATACATTTTTATTATGTTCATATGTTGTCTGTTTACCACTTTTACTGCTAAGGATGGCAATGGCTGTGTGAGTAGGCTGGTCTGATATAAATTCCTCTATTTGTTGGCTAGTTCTGAATTTTGTAAATGTGAGTTTGTTATAAGAGCAGTCAAATTGGATATTTATAGGCCTAACAACTGATGTGGCCATTACAGGGCTCGTGGGCAAGGAAAATCTAGTTCAGGAATCCATCCCCATAATTGTGGACAAGTAGCACTGACAGTACAGAGTATAGAGATTGAGTGCCTGCTGCTGATCTCCAAATCTTCAAAGCATTTATCTCATAAACAGGGCCCTGTGCTCATGGCACTGTTTAATCTATGAATGATTTAAGCATGTACAGTAACTGAGGCAGAGAGGTCAATAACCACTGTTGCAAAAATGTGGACAACAGAATGCTTCTTGGTTTGTTGTTGCTAATTGGTATAATCACCACCTTGTTAATTTGATCCATGTCAGTTAGCAGGATGCTCAGATCTCACAAATCAGTAATAAGCCTTAAAGGGTTTCTTTAGGCTAAGAAGCCCCATTAAGTACCTTTAACTGATTAAAACAAGGGCACAGTTATCCCCAGACATGTACATCTGCATCCTGTGCCAGCAAAATAATGATGAATAGGAAGATCACTGGAAGCACCTGGCTGACTTAAAAAATAGAGTTCCCTCCGTACCTGGAAACTATTGATCAGTAGTAGACAGGGCTGCTTTATTAAAGGGGCAAAGCAATATTTGTTCCAGTCCTACCAGGACAGGGACATGTAAAGATACTTGTAAGCTATTGTTATACACTGTATATCAGGAAGCCAAACAATACTTTTGTGTTTTGTCACCATTCTTTTTATTAAAGAAAAGCATATAAATGTTCAAACAAAGGGAGCACAGACTGTTCTTTAATAAGTGGTGAAATAAAAGGATGGCAAAATAAAACCATAAGAGATAAGTGATCTTATTTATAAAATTGACTCCCTGTTTTAAAGAAGGCAAGATTAGTGTAAATTTAAATATTTTGGTCAATCTAAAAGATTATGCAATATTATGCAGAATCAGTAAAACTTTATATTAGTATGTATATCGTATATATGTTTATGTATATATTTTATTTATTTATTATGTGCAGGTCTAAAAAAATACAATCTTAACAATACATTTAAGCTGTATTGTGTACAAACAATTAAGCTATGTCTCCCCCTTTGACAGATAGCTGAGACTGTGCAGGGCTGCTGCATGTCAGACCTGACTGTCACTGACAGCTCTGGTCCCTACTATTGATAGGAAACAAATCAGGGTGGTTGCTGATCATGTGATCACTGTGTCAATATGGCAATTAGGCTGGAGGCTTCATTTACTAAATAAGCCTTTAGCATGCAGTTGGCATTGCAGCTTAAAGGTGGCAGCATGCCTCTTTTTAAAAGTGTACTTGTAAATACAACTACAGTATTAAAAATAATACATTGATTACAAATTAAAAACTTTATTTTTACAATATATGCATTTAGCAGGTTATAATAAAACCAGAGCAGGGTTTTATTAAAAAAAGAATGCCAAATATAAGCTTTATGTTTATTCTAGATTTAAAGTGCAACTAAAGCCAACATTCTTTTTTTGGGGGATAGAATAGAAAGGGATTAGAGCACCTGTCAGGTTTTTATTGCTGCTGATGCCAATTCCAGCCCTAAAGGGGACATCGTTATCAAATCTAAAGGTGGCCATACACTGTACAGCCATCGCAAGACCTTAGTGATTAAAAAAACGTACGATCTGCCTATCTTGGACAGGCAGATCGCACTCTCGATCATCGCAAGCCCGCCCCCCTGAGGGGCGGGCTTCCGATGACCGCAATGCTGAACGGGCAGTGTGCGCGTGCGCACACCGGCCCGTTCGGCATTTGTCTCCCGAGCACTGTTCAAACCAGCCGAAAATCGTACGATTCTCGGCTGGTTTTCTAACATGCTCCTTAGACAAAAGACGTGCGACCGCTCATTAGAAACCCGCGCACGACTTCGTTCACACTGTTCGATTCTCGTACGATCGCGGGATTTCCCGCGATTCTCGTACGAGAATCGAGCAGTGTATCGGCACCTTTATAGAGATCCATTTGGTTATAGTATCTTCAGCCCAATCAAAACCTTATCCCATCCTAAGCCCTGATGAAGGGGTATTATGGTTGCCACTGAAATGTGTTGGCATTGTTTTTACTTAATCATTTTGTGCACAATTAAAGGCACATTTGGACTCTTTCACCTTTTGGTTTGGAGCCCTCTCTTTCTGAACAATGAGTCACTTCTGGTTACCCTACAAGGGAGGCCTGACTTGTTGGGGAGCTGCTTTGCCAATGCCAGCAAGCTTACTTGAAATCTTTCCTGCATCTGGACTATTTGAGTGAGCACAGTAATCCCAGCGCCTCTATAATGTGTTCTTTTGAGATTTTTATTGCTGTCTGTGTCCCCATTAGGGAGATTCACCCCCTATATTTGTCTATCTGTCCTTTTGACCATTATCACCGAAGGTGAAAGTAAAAGAAAATCACAAATTGTATATTTTGTTTTTAAGAACTTTCAAAAATACACTTTCTCTATTTGTGTAGATGCATTTTGGCAGACAATACAGTCTGCTTTCATAAAACACTTTATATTAGGCAGCAGCCCTAGAGATGTTAGGGATGGTTTAAAATAATAATGGAGATCATCTTCCAAGAACTATGATGCAAGATGAAGTTGGCAGAACAAACTGTCTGTACAGTATGATGCCCTGTGATCATTTGAAAATGGCTAAATCTCACGTTTGGCAGATTAGACCATTTCTCTGTATTCCTGATATAACATTTCCTTATACACAGGCTTGTTCAGTAGGTTGCATTTTCAGTGTAGGGAATGCAATTTGTGGTAAAGTACAACACAACATCTTTCAATGTACTGTACATGTCTGCTTCACCTCTGTGGGGACTTTCTACCTTGTAAATATGACTAACACACAGATGAGTTAACACGTCTGGTATGAATGTGGCCTGATCCCTTTGTCTCTGATTTGTGACAAATCTTTGTGTTTACCAATGGAATTGTAAAATTAATTTGCTGAATCCAATAGATCTGAACAAGTTTTGGCTGGAGCCCTATCTTAAACTGGGCCTGTCAGTTAACTTTAAAAGTCTTTTTTAATAAATTCCTGACATTTCACAAAATAAAGCAACAGTATAAT